GCCTCATGCGTGTTAGGCAAGAACTCTACCACTGAGCCACAACCTCAGCCCAGCCTGGACAACTTTTTAAAAATATTTTTTTAGTTATAGGTGGACCTTTGTTTTATATATTTATATGAGTGCTGAGAATTGAACCCAGTGCCTCATACATGCTAGGCAAGTGCTCTACCTCTAAGCCACAAACACAGCCCCAACTTGGACAATTTGACAAGACCCTGTCTCAAAATAAAAAGGAAGGGCTGGCCAGGCATGGTGGTACACTCCTGTAATCCCAGCAGCTCAGGAGGCTGAGGCAGGAGGATCACAAGTTCAAAGCCAGCCTCAGCAAAAGCAATGCACTAAGCAACTCAGTGAGAACCTGTCTCTAAAATAAACATAAGAGCAGTGTGAAGAAGAAGAGGCGAGAACGACCCCGGACTGACCAAAGCCAGCCGCTGCGTGCCCCGGTCCAGCGCCTGCATCCCGCCGCCGTCGCCACCATGCCCAAGAGAAAGGCTGAAGGGGATGTGAAGGAGACAAAGCCCAGGTGAAGGACAACCACAGAGAAGATCCGCAAGGCTGTCCGCTGACCTGCTCCTCCAAAGCCAGAGCCCAAGCCTAAAAAGGCCCCTGCAAAGAAGGGAGAGAAGTCCCCACAGGGAAAAAGGGAACAGCTGACCCTGGCGAGGCTGGGGATACCCTGCAGAAGATGGAGATGCCCAAAGAGGCCGGGCACAGACAGCTGAGGGGCTGGAGACGCAGGGCAGTGTGTGCCTTTCTGATAACTGGGACTTCTGGTGGCTGCACGGTTTGAAATACTATTTTTTATCAAGTTTTATAAAGATGCAGAATTTTGTTTTACTTTTTTTTTAAGCCATGTTGTTAGCACACAGAACACTTCATTGCTGTTTTTTGGGGGAAGGAGCATACGTCACTAGTAGAATGTCTCCAAAGCTGGATTGCTGTGGGGAAACACACCTTTCCCTTCTAGTTTTGAGAGACTTCCTCTTGGTTCCCAAGAGGAAGGGATTCCCTGATGTTGGCACACACAGCCACCTGGGCACAAATGCCTTGTGCTATGGAAAAACTCAAACTCATCTGTATGTCCTCCTCCCGCTCTCTGGCATCAGCATGGACTTAACTCCCCTGAACTCAGACCTGTTGGGACCTGATTCCCAGCAATGGGTTTCACCAGTGTGGGGGGCAATCTGGACTTTCCAGTGACGTCGTTGAGAACAGTGTCCCTCAGAAGAGCAGCAGTTCCTTTTCTAGATGGTGGATCTTCAGATTAATAATTTTGGCCATTCTCCTTTCATTTCCTGAAAGTCAGGGCCGACTTGTGAAAAGTTGTTAAACATGCTAAATGTGAAAGGTCAACCCTCACTCTAAACTTCTCCTATTCAGAGCATCAGATGAAGACTTCATTGGGTTTTATAGTGGCTTTCTGATTTTGGTAGTCTGTCTGCCTATGACCTGCCTGAAACACCATGATTGTTTATGAAATGTATCTTTAATAAAGCTGGATACAGTTTGGCTTGGAAAAAAATAAAATAAACTACAAAATAGGCCTGGGGATGTGGTTCACTGGTTGAGTGCCCCTGGGTTCAATCCCTAGTACCTAAATAAATAAATAAAAACTACTTTTTGTTATTTTGAGAGAGGGGCTCACTCTCTTTCCCAGGCTGACCTGAAACACCCAAACTCAAGCAGTCCTCCTGCCTCAGCCTCCCAAGTGCTGGCACTACGGGATGTTATACCATGTCCAGCTGTACTTACAACTGTCCCCATCTGTGCTATACCCATGGGAGTTCAAATTCACAGAAATGACAGAATTAAGACATGGAGAAGCAAATGATGTTGAAAGAAGACTTTGTTGTATTAGATTTTCCAGAGGTGGAAGTGCACCATGCCCTGGGGGCAAGCAAGGCACACGGGGAGCACCAGGCTCTGCTCAAGAGCCAGGGCCAGTGAAGGAAGGACAGGCCCTCGCTGAGTGCCCCCTGGAGGGGCAGAGCCTGGCACACAGCTTAGAACTGGCTAGTCTGGATAACTCCAGTGGGCCCTGGCACAGATGGGCTGACCCTGCTTGCCTGTACCTGGCCCTGGGCAGTGAGCAGGAAAACTGGCCTGGCCTGTGGGAATTCCTGAGGAGGTGGTACAGGGCAGGTGTGAAAGGGGTGATGAGAACAATTCTGCCATGAGTTTGGTCAATCAGGAAAATATAAAATCTAAGAAAATGGAATACCCCCATGCACGGGAACAGGTGAGGGGATGCCTCCATGGTGGACAGACAAGGGGAGACCATCAGGTTTGGTCAGACCTGTTGCTGTGACTCAGTCTTCACCCAAGAGTGGGGAGAAAGCTGAAACTGAGAGATGGGAACCTTGAGGTCTGGCCACAGGCCAGTGACCAAGTCTTACGTGGCTCTCTCCCCCCACCCCCAAGAACCTCTCATCTGATCCCTCTCTCCACCTAGGCGGGTGATCTCAGTCCAGAAGAGAGCAGCTGGGCACCTCTGGGCTGAGGAACTTGCTGTGCCGCTGTGTGTGGAAGCTCAGTCTCACAGAGAGTGGCTTGGGACCTGCAGGGCTGTATGCCCTGAATGCATCTGCTGCTCCCCTTGAAAGGCAGGCAGCACCTGGGGAAGCCCCCCATTAGACATCTGGGCCACTTCACCCCACTGTGTCCTCAGAGTGGGACTAGCCCCTCGGCTCAGCAAGAGTTCCATAGTAGGACTGTGGCCATATTCTGCAGCAAGGTGCAGGGGGGTCTTGTGGAGCCAGCCAGCAGCATTGACCTGTGCACCCCTGTCCAGGAGATGACTGGCAACCTCCATGTGGCCTCCCAGAGCTGCATAGTGCAGGGGTGTGAGGCCCAGTGAGTCCTGAGCATCTACCTCAGTTCCCCAGGCCACCAACAGCTGGACAGCAGACAGATGCCCACCAGCAGCAGCCCTGTGAAGTGCAATGCGGCCATGCCTGTCCCTGATGCTTGGGTCTGCCCCATGGCCCAGTAGCAGCTCAATGTCCTAGAAAGGAGGAGAGGGGAAGGCATGAGTAGGCCTTGACACAAGTGGGTGAGAGGCTGGGACCTGGAGACATTTGCCTGGCCCTAACCTGTTCTGACCTTCTGTTTGGTCAGTAAGCCAGAACCTAAGGCAGCCTGCAGCCCTTCTGCTTGGAGACTTCCACTTTCCCCAAATGGCTGAGATCATATCCAGACTCTGCAGTGCCTCCTGTCCTCCTCTGGTGCCTAGGAGCTAGCTGGTCTCAACTGCAGACCAGGTACTAGATAAATGTTTGTTGCTGTCGGCCACCAGAACGAAGTAGCAATGCAAGCCAGAGTCTCCAGGGCCTCCACGAGATGGCAAGATTATAGGAGGAGAGGCACAGCCAGGACGGCTCTCAGTGATTCCACCCTGGTGCCTCTCTCCTGCGCTCTCGCGCCTCCTCCACCTGCCCAGCCTCCGTGTCCGCCTGGCCCCACCCCGCGGTGAGGGGAGTGCGGCCCGGAGCTTCCTGCCTCGCAGCCCCCCCCCCTGCTATTGCCTGGGAAAGCAGGACTCACTTGTTGGCGGCCCAGGCCGGCCGCCAAGCCGAGCGCGGTGACCCCGGAGGAGCCGTCAGGGGCGTCCACCTGCGCCCCGCATGCCATGAGGAGGCGCAGCGCCGCTTGGCGCCCGGCCACAGCCGCCACCAACAGGGCACCATCCAGGTCGGCGCCCCCGCCTGCCGCCAGCAGCTCGAGTACCGGCAGCCTCCCGCCGGCGGCCGCCCAGTGCACTGCGGTCCAGCCGAAAGCGTCAGTTGCCTCGGGGCCCAAACCCGGAGCGGCCAGTAGGCGCGCTGTCAGCAACGTGCGGCCCAGTGCTGCGGCCCAGTGCAGCGGCGTGAGGCCTTCCCCGGAGCGTGCAGCCACCGGGGCCCCTCGCCGCAGCAGCAGCTCGGCCACCCGCGAGTGCCCTTGCCAGGCGGCATCATGCAGCGGCGTGTGCCCCGCGCAGTCCGCTGCGTCCACTGGGGCCCCGCGCTGCAGCAAGAGGCGCACCAGGGGCGCGTGGCCACGCAGCACAGCCAGGTGGAGAGGGGTCCTTCCAAAGCGGTCCCTGCAATGAAGTAAAGGTGTCCAGCACGCCGGCAGTCTGCTGACCAGACCCTATCCTGCCCCTCCCCAAGAAGGAATCCCCGTCAGTCCCAGAGCTTACTTCTCTTCCACGCTGGCCCCTTGCCTCAGGAGCTTCATCACCAAGGCGGCAGGACCATGCCACACAGCCTGGAGCAGGTTCCCCTGGCTCTGGGGGGCACTGGGCCCCTTTGTCCTGGCTTCTCGGGCCTCCGAGCTTAGTTCTATCCACCGCAATTCCTGCTCTGCAGCCTCCGCCCTGTCCTGCTCCATAGGCTCAGGCCTGCTGGAATCCACCTGGGGAGAGTATTCACCTTGGAGGCTCTGCCTTGTGGGCCCAGGTGTCCCATGCCAAGGTGGAGGCACGCACACACACACCTTCGCCATGGAAAGCCAGCCTTCTGACTTTGAGTTACCCCCCAGGAGAATTTCCCCAGGGGCTCTGTCCTCTGGCTGGGGGGTCACCTCCATGCTGCTCCTAGCCCAGTATCAGCCTAGTGACTATCCTCACAAGACTCCTTCTGCAGGCTGTTGTGGGAGTTTCACCTGAGAGGCCAGGGGAGAAGAGGAAGCTCCTACTTCTTCCTGGGCCAGGCTGGAGCCACTGGCACGTTTACCCAGTAATCTAAGGAGAAACCTGCCTGCCTGGCTGCAGCCCCTGCCCAGCACCCTTACCCCCTGCAGACTGCCTGCCAGGAACCAAGACCAGGGCAGTCTGGGAAGCGCAAACAGGAACATGCTCCTGGGTGACGTTCCTCCCCCCACCACCTGCACAAGGAGCATGGCCTCTGATGTGCCTGGACTTGCCCCCAGTCACCTCTGCTCTGACCCTACCCCTGCTCCTGTTCCTACTGGCTAAAAGGACCTGAGGATGGTGCCACCTCTCCTGAGTTGGGTCAGAGCTGGGGAAGAGTTCAAGGTGCGGTTCTTGTTCACCACTGACACCTGGACAGAGAGTGGCCTGGGGTGATAGGGAGGCAAACCCCTGGAGAGCAGGTTGAGTGGGGTCAATGAAAGTCATGGAAGGCAGACACCTGGACAAGAGAGGATGGAAGTGGGTGGGGAGTATTTCTGGCACAGGAGCTGCTAAACACCTTGTCTTGGGTGGAAAGTGATCCTGCCAGAGCACAGTCTTCAGGTGGGTATCTTGACTCTGGGTGCTGGGGGGGGGGTTAGGCAGGTCACTTGCCCAGAGCTAGGCAGGGGAAGCTGGACCTGTGTCCAGGAAGACTAACTCTAGTGGCAGCTTCTGCATTTCTCCCCCACAGAGACTTGTGCTGGCCAACAGGAGACAGCCCAACTCTGGAGCTGCCCATTACACCCACCCCCATTACCCCCAGGCTGCAAAGGATGAGGTGTTTGGAGGGTTGTACCCTGGCCCCTCCCTAGCGGGCAGCCCTTCCAGGTGCCCCAAGGCAAAAACTAAGGGGCCCTTTCCTACCCCTAACCTACCTGGATCCTCCCCTGGGGACCTCATCAGTCCACTCAGCTGTCCCCTCCACCCCCATAACACCTGGAGCCTGACCATGGAGCTGAAGCAGTCTCTGTCTTCAACCCTGTCCTATTCTCTTTTTGGCACTTATCACAACACAAAGGTCTAAGGTCTATTTATTTCATTTTATTCTATGGTACCAGGGGATTGAATCCAGGGGCACTTAACCACTGAGCCTCATCCACAGCCCTTATTCTATTTTACTTTGAGACAGGATCTCACTAAGTTGCTCAGGGCCTTGCAAAATTGCTGAGGCCAGCTTTGAACTTGTGATCCTCCTGCCTCACCCTCCCAAGCAGTGGGGATTACAGGTGTGTGCCACCATGCCTGGATATTAATTTCATTTAATGACTTGCCTTCCTCTTTAGGATGGGCAATCCATGAGGGCATACCCCAGCAGGCTGGCCAGCAAAGAAGCAGTGAGCTCTGGACTGACGTGAACACCCAAAGCAAGAGGAGCTTTGGTCTCAGCATCCGCCCCATGGCCTTCATCCCACAGGAGGACCCAAAATTGAGAGGGATAAGGGCACTTGTGCTAAGGAGTCACCTGCATGGTGCAGTTGTCCCTGGGGATCCGTGGAAAGACCCACACCTCATCATAGTAAGGGAGGATGTAGAACTGCCTGTGCCAGCCTCCTGGAAGGAGGCAGGTGAGACAGTGGGCCTCATGTGGCTCTCTCGACAGCCTGCCTTCCCCAGCTCTGCCCAGGCCTAGGTGGATTGGGTTTGCCTTGCCTCTGGGTCCAGGCAAGGCTGCCAGGATGCCAGCTCAGGCTCACCTCTGGGAGGCAGGCTTTGAAGCCCAGAGCCAAGAGCGGTTCTTGGCACCAAACTGTGGTTTGAATGTGTCCTTCAAAAGTGCATGTGTTGGGGCTGGGGATGTGGCTCAAGTGGTAGCGCGCTCGCCTAGCATGCGTGCGGCCCGGGTTCGATCCTGAGCACCACATACCAACAAAGATGTTGTGTCCTCT